CCCCAAAACCCCAAAACCCCAAAACCCCAAAACCCCAAAACCCCGATATTGCTATGACAATTGAAATGAAAAATTAATGGAGAATACTAGTAATTCTGATAAATTCCAGAGAGACCTAAACAAACTCTACCTTTAAAATATTAGAATAAGAACAATATTGTTAGACGATTTAATATTATCCAGTAAATGCTCTGGGAGCTCCACATGCAATACACTTGTCATCATTTTTCTTATTGTTGGTAGTGCAGATATAACAAGTCCATTCTACTTTTGCAGAGGTGACGGGTCCACTATCTTCATCGGAGCTATCTAGTTCTTCCTTTCCTTCTTCCTCCTTAACTTCAGGAAAGTCGTTCTTGATACTACCTAGGACCTTGATGAAATGTGTATCTACAGCAGACCTGATCTGAGCTGCGTCTGTTTTGAATTTGAAAAACTCTTCCTTCAAAGATATGCTTTTATCTGGCCCCATTTCGATAAATTCTGTTATATCTTTGATGAGGAGTCTTGATAATGACTCAAGAGAAAGCTCTAGCTCTCCTTGCATGAAGTCAAAGAAAGACTTCTTCCTTTTACCCTTCATGAAGAACCTCATTGAGTAAGTATTTGCAACAGCTCTTCTTGCCTTTAGTACTAACTCTATGACATCATTGAGGAAAGAGAAATCAGCTAGAGTGTATTTGTTGCCAGATTTAGCCAGGATAAAATCTATTTGGCTGACAAGCTGCTCTCCTCTCTTTTTATCTAAATCCACTGACTTTAGATGCTCTTTAAACCTTGTGGCGTAATGTGCAAACTTCCGCAGCCTCATGTCAAGCCTGACTTTCTCCTTGAGCTCCCCTTTCTTGGCTCTGTTAACTTTGGTAAGGTCAGCATAGTTGTTACAAAGCCCAATTCCTGTCTCTTTGGAGTGGTTCCTGTAATCGCCCATACAGAGCCATCAAAACTCGTATTTACAGTTGTAGCAAGTCATGTGCATACATCCTTGGTTTTTCTCAATAGGTGACTTACATTTTGGACAGACTTTGGAGTTTACCTTCATCCAAAGCTCTGAGCTATCGTTGGTGCCGTCCTTGTCCCCTTGCCTGAGTTTATCCATGAACATCTGTCTGTAGTAACATTCAACTGGGACATGGGCATCTTGCTCTCAGTAAAAGCAGAATGCTTTTCCACATTCTCAAAAGACATCGATTGCTGTAAGCTCAGGATAATAAATAGCTTTATCACAGCCAGGAGATGGACACCACTTGATAGCCTTGCTGCAGTCTACATAGTAATTCATATAGAACTTCTGGTAAGTCTTGTATTCAATTGGCTCAAGGATTGATTTCCACTGACCTGGAGGGATTAATTCATTACACTTAGAGGTCGGTCATGTTGTCCTCATACACATTGGTCCATTCTTAACAGCAGTAGATAGATAGAAATAGAAACAAGTGTTACACAGGAAATGGTTGCATGAAGAAACAGTCACCTCATCATTAGGGTAATCGCAAAAGCATACAGGACATCATTGGGTATCCTTGCTAGGATCAAATAAAGTATCTTCCTCATCTTCATCAGCTATTTTAGCATTTTCCTCAAATCAACAGTTAAGGACTTGATCTTTATCAAACCGTTTCTTGATAAGAAGAACCTGGGCTCTATCATTACTAACCCCGAGGACCTCCTGTACCTCTTTAATCATAGATTTCCTCTGCTCATCAATATCTACCTCCGTAAATATTTTGAAATGGAATCCACTAGTCAGCTTCGGCTGATAACTGGACAAATTCTTCTCCATCTCAGGTTCAACATAGTCATCATAATCATCCTCCTCAGACCAGCCGTCAGCGTCATCATCGACCTCCATGAACTGCTCTTCCTTATGATTGTCAACTTCCATTGCCTTTCGTATTATTGGTAAATTATTATTAGAAATCAGTCAGATTTTTATAAATCGGGGTTTTGGGGTTTTGGGGTTTTGGGGTTTTGGGG